AGGGTAACGCATAACGCTTAACGTCTGAGGCGCGAAACGCTTGGGGGTGATCCTGGCAGCCAGGTAGTGTAGCCACCTAGTAATAAATTGAAATGAACGAACTCAATTGCTGATAAAAGTTGCGAGGATGCTCCTCCAAGTTTTGGTCAATTGTTCTGACTTACCGCTTCTCCATGTTGGTATAAAAGTAACGATGTAAGAAGAAACAAACTATGACTCGGAAAAATATATTTTTGGGGTTTCATCCTTAAAAGAGAACCCCACAAGCATGACAAGTGTCAGAATAGTGCTTCTCTCCAGGGGAGAAAATTGGTAAAATTACTCGAATAGCAAAAAAAAAAAGAGCTCAGGAGGATAAAGTTCTCCAGAAGAAAGAAACTAAAGACTGGCGTATAATTTTACTCAAGATATATCATATAGGAACACATTTTTAAATCACTAAAAATCGATTACTGCCTCCTCTGTCATTGTACCATTTTTTGCGCCTCCCATCAAGCTTCAAAGTTCTAAAATGGTGTTTAAAAAGCTTTTAGCAGGGCATCATATCCATTTTTTCATTCCTTTCTTCGAAATAATATAATATTAACCGGGAAATTCTGCCAATTCGTTTCGACCTTAGTGTGAGCAGAATTATATACATAGTGTGTTCCAAAAGTACTGCCCGTTTTCTTTTCAGACGAACGGTGGCAGATATTAAAATGCGGATTATGTAACGCAGAAGTGCTGATAAAGACGGATAAAACAAGACTATCGCGTTTTGAAAATAACACGTCGAGCTGACCTCGCCCATATTTTTAGCGCGTTTTTTTTTCTGAAAAGAAAACACGGATCTTAAGATTCGAATGGTTTTATTCAATCAATTTTGTCCGTCTCCTGTGGTGTGGTGTGGTTGCGGCGCTTGCTCTATGATGGGGAGGTCCCGGGTTTGATTCCCGGCCAGGTGAACCGAATTTGATGGTCTCAAACAACGGTTACATGGGGCAGGTTTGACTGGAGACAGAGGGAGGATGGGACTATAGGGACGGCAAAGCGCAAGAGTGTCCCTCGTGGGATATTTGAAATGGAAAAAAAATCGCAGAATTGTACTAAGCTTGCTACCACTTACTCTTCTTAACTGGACGTCTATCTGGATTCAAGTTACCTTCTCGAAGTATCCTTATTCACTTTCTGTACAGTGCCGCAACCGTTTTTCCCGCCTCCGCAAACAGGTTTTTTTCGAACACCGAAAAAAAAGTGAAGTTAATTTAACATTCTGGATGTAAAAAAAGTGTGCGATAACGTACAAAACGCTAAAATACCTGCCACAGCAGTTACTTTAGCAATGCCAAGATGTAAAATTAAGTGCTGTGGCGGGTAGTTCAGCATTTATAAGTTCTCGCAAAATTTTTTTACATCCAGAATGTTAATTCAACTTTTCTTTTTTTTCGGTGAAGTATTCATTCCTGAGATTGTTGAAGGAAGTTTCAACAGCTCTTTTGATATCGTCGACGGAGTTGAATCTTTGGCCTCATACATGAAAAACGGCCAAAAGTCGCTGGGTGCTATATTCGGACTGTATATGGAAAGTGCGGAGACAGACACTCCCAGGTCATCCGAGACATCCGAGGTTAAGGTGATTCGATGGACGCCATATTTTGTGTCAGAACGGCATGCGATATATCGCATCAATTGGTTCCATTTTTTCAGTTACTCGTCATTTTTCTCCAATTCTGAGATCGCAATTTCGTTGTCAGGAGACTAAAGCACCCACTTACCAATTTTAACAAATAAATTCAACGTAATAAAGGCGTGGTTTTTTTAGAGAGAAAATATCGCATTCGAGTGCAGTTTCGATATCAGTTTCGAACGCGATGTTTTCTCTCTAAAAAAACCACGCCTTTATTACGTTAAATTTCTTTGTTAAAATTGGTAAGTCAGTGCTTTAGTCTCCTGACAACGAAATTGCGATCTCAGAATTGGAGAAAAATGACGAGTAGCTGAAAAAATGGAACCAATTGATGCTATATATCGCATGCCGTTCTGACACAAAATATGGCGTCCATCGAATCACCTTAATCATAAACTCAATGGTGAACTGAACCGTGTGTGAGTAGGCGGTGTCCTTGTGCACGAGCTATGACTCCTTCATCTCTAGTCGCTTTTTGGCAACATTCTCACGTACTTCATCAGTTCAGAGCCGTCACGTTGAGCGAAACTATGTTTCAAACTTCACTCGATCGCATATTCTTATTAAAAGTTTTGATTCTTTAAATATTTGTTTTCTTCTCAGGATAAAATGCTAAGAAACCCTGGATGGGCCAGCTCGAAACGTCATTGTCAAAACGCTGCAATTTGTTCAATTCTTGACGTAGAAAGCTCGAATTGGTCTCGTTTTATTAGTCATTACTAGCACTTTAAAATTACGCAAACCGCATTTTGACATCTGGCAACGTTCGTCCGAAAAAAGAAAACCAGCAGTGCTTTTCTGACACCCTATGTGAGTAGTTAAAAGAGGTTGGCTTAAATTCTGAAAATTCCAAATTAATCTGAATTCTTATTCATGCAATGTCTAACGCGAAAGAAGCAAACAAAACAAAAAAACACACGTATCATCAGAAACGGGCATAATCTAGCTAGAATCTCAACAGAATCTCATCAATGTATATCTGTTCATTACTTGTACAGGGTATTCTGAGAATCCTGCATCATCTCTATAACCCTCAAGGTCCTTTTTCCTTTTCAGGGTGGTCCATTTAAAATTTTTGGGGCTCCGAATAGTCGTTTCCTTCGACCGCGGAACACTTACAAAATTGGACGTATTTCTGTCAAACGGAACTATGTGCAATATGACGTGAGCCCTGGTATGCATGTATTCTTATGGGTCTTAGGGCTCATGTCTTAATGCACATAGTTCCGTTTGACAGAAATACGTCCAATTAGCACTGCACCGAGTCATCATTCTGCAAATCGACGGCTGAAGTCGGGAACACGAATACAAAGTTACATGTTTCTTAACTGGAATTTCTCGTAGAACATGATTTTGCATTGAAAATTACTGGAATCAACTCCTAACCAAGATATTGACGTTTTCATTTTACATTGGTTACCGTAATTTTGAATTGCCGGGTCACAGGAAACGCAATTCTCAACGTGAGTCAATTTGTGCCTCACAACAGTTTTGGCAGGCTTCTCAATCGAGCATTGTTCCTTTCCCACCTTATATCATTCAAATTGTAAACAAATTGCTCTATCTGAGCCAAAGCTTCAATGTTGAGGTTGCCAGATTTTCGTACCGCAGAGATTGTCATGGTAACGTTTAGTGTGCGATTTATTTCACGTAGACTATTGTGTTTTCATGAGCGAGAGGTTTGGATTCGCGCGTCAAGAAACATCAAATGTCTTAATTAAGAGTCAATTTCGGTAATTTTCGTTGCGCAAATCGTATTCTTCCTGAAATTGTGGTTGAAAGCATGTATCAGAATGCTTAACTTCAAACCTTGTCTCGGCGTCCATAGGGACTTTACGATTAGTGGAATGAAATAGGTAAGGGAAAAAGAGGGAGGTTCCTGGCACAAGTGGCACCCGGCATATCCATAAAAGTATAGGCTGTTTGAATCGAAGGGTTGGTTTGGCACCAATTTTTCCAGGAGTGGTCTGAACTTCACACTGCCAAAAATTTCAGGGGATCTTTCCCAGAAATGTATGTTTATTCCTTGATGCATTTTTTGGGCTGCTCTCGCGCTAAATGTACCCGAATATAAAATGGACCCTCATTTTGCAATTCGGAACTATGAATTCTGGCTCTTCTAGAAATGTGCATAGGGAAACTAATGGCACGTACGTTGCATTTAAACCGGGCTAGAATTAATAGTTTCTAATTGCAAAATGTAGTCCAAATGTGGGTTCAACTCTCACCGATGATTTTCAAAAAATATGTCAAACTTCCTCTTCCCTTTCGCATAATGTCATGAAGCGAAGAAATATCCCCATCAGGTTTTAAATTACCTTACTCTACTGTTTAGATCATCTAGGAAACCAGCGGGTGATTGTTAAAAATAGTAGACAAAGCGATAGACAAAAAAGACAAAAAGGAAATGGACGGATCCTTTTGGCGGAAGCGAGTGGTTGGCATATACAAAGGAGCCAACAACTCACGAGAGACATTATTTTTCCACTTTCTCCCGTAGGCAGTAAGAACCACCGAAATTAACCAATAGAATCGCTCCATACTCCTTACGCTTTCCCTGTCTATCGCCTTGTCTATCAATGTCAAAAATCAACCCGCAGATAATACTACTTTAAATTCTGTGGAAACCCAGATCAATCTGGTCCTTTAAGATATTTACCCATTCATAAAAGTACTTATTCGCATGGAAAAACTAATACATTTACAATACATACGTCTAATGTAACATCAGCTCAAAAAATATAGTTCTCCTCTGCGTAACGAGATCCATTCGTCAGGTTTTTAAGCGTTTTTCCTAGGAAAGTTCAGTTTAAAATCATACTTTTCCCCGAATAGACCTTTTTTTAAGGTTCCGACTTTTCATCGGTTCAGCCTACGCAAAGGTTGCGACCTCGAAGAGCTCGTAGAACTGTGCTAAAAAAAAGGAGGAAAAAACTCTCGTATGAGCCTTTTGGAATCGTCAAATTTCCATTGACAAAGCACGAATTCTCTGGAAAATGTATACATACTCTGTATTCTTTGAGAGCGATTGTTTTTTGCAATACAGTCTACAGTATCTAAAAATGTCAAGGAAACAAATTCATAAATCCCTTCAAATATGACTCTTATATCGGGAGAAATTTGGCAACGTTTTGATGCTTATATGAAGTTTTTCCTCAGTATGGCAGTCATACACTGACGCCAATGAAACCTCCCACGTCATAAACTACCTGATGATTCGCAAATTGAGCAAAAAAAAATCGTCGCCACTTGCAATTCCTACGAGCACATGACAAATCAGGTAGTTAATTGCGTGCTTTTGAAACGATTACTCGGTTTGAGCTGTCACAGGATTGGGACGGAAGAAAAAATGAAATCAACCTATTCCGTCAGCTGCTATAAAAGTAAAATTAAAAGGTGTACGATCCACTCATGTTGCTTTGACGCCTGATGATGGGTGTTAATATCGCGGGTGGTTTCAGCGTGGTGAACCTGGTCCTGATTTTACAGGTACGATCTCATTTTAAATCAGTTCTAGAGCCTTACAGAGACGCTCCATATCCTCGTAAATTCCAAAAAAGGGCAAGACTTGTTGTTTTGTATTTTAGTAGAGCAAGAGACCCGGTGGTGAATCGACTCTTCATTTCAAGTTCTAATTCGAGTCGCTGGAGCGCTGCTCTGACACAATGTGTCAGTTGCAGGATGGCAAAATTTCATGAAAAATAAAATCTTGAAATTTCAGAAATGTATGAAAGATATTGAAAAAAAAACCGGTTCCTTTTCATGTTTCCCAAAATGTAAAAATTGTGACTTCCTTCTATTTTTGTGCGGTTTGCATACTCTAGCCCCTGAAAAATATGATATATTTCACAACCTCGTGAAATTTCATGAAATATTTCACTGAAATTTCCAATCTTTAGTTTCTTTCTTAAGTTCCATGCCACTCTGGTCAGTTGCACTGGGCACAGGATCGTGTTTTCATGTTTGGTTTTTGAAGATCGGCTAAAAATAATTAGATCTGTACGTACAGCAACTCTCTACGTTCAATATTAACCGAGATATCGCGCTTTGAAAAATTCGTTTACTGGCGTCATCCACCGCGGTATTTTATCATAAGTCGAGTCGAGATTGTGATTAATTTTATAACTCTTGGTACATCAAAGAAGGAATTAAATCAAGTTCTCTAAACAGTACTATGAACCAATATTGAGAAGGAAATGATCTCATCTCATATCCAAGGTCCGTCCAAAACTAAATTGTTACAAATTGTAAATCAAAATTCAGATGAAACATAGATAGTTTTTAGTTTCTTTATAAAATCATCAGAAACAGTAATATTTCATCACCTCTCTAGGTTTCATTAACTTTTTCAAGGAACTCATTTAGATGGTAGAATGCAGAATTTTGACGGAATTTTTTAAAAGTTTAGAAATGCTCTGTGATGATCGTTCTTGAAAGATAGTTTCAACGTAAGTGGGAGGGTATTGAGAAGTTGAATATCATTATTGTGTCTTTATTTGAAAGACTTACTAAAAACCATAACTTGCAGCTCTCTGGAATTTCCGGCAACACGTATGGGTCAGAAAGAAGTTCATTCTCGAGAGACGCACATCTTCTAGATTCTGATTCCGTAGCTCAAAAAGTTTCGCATGTTATTTGGAAGGATGCTGCGGCCTGCCCTATTTCAGCGGCTTTCGCTCAAATCAGCCGTCTAAATAACAGAGAATCAGGTACTCGAGTTTTTCACTGTATTATGATAACACTCCTAACCCACACGGTAGGATATCTTTCGCTCTTGCAGCTCTGAAAATAAAATAATATCGCAGAAAATGGATAAAAATGTGACAATCCCAAAAAGCCACGCAAAATCCATACATATATAACTTTAGATAGTATTCGCCGTTTTAGGCTTTAGGAAGCTACAAAATTGTTTAAAAGCGCAATCCACCTATATAGAATTGCAAAGTTACATATGATAAGGACAGGTAGTTTTAGGAAATATACAGAAAACCTCGAGCCAAAAAATCATGTTTCCATTATGGGATAATTGGACACTTGATATGTTTTGTTATTGGGAAACGTTAATGGCTGAAATCAAACATCGCATATCGATACCAAAGGAACAAAACCCCTTATCTGCAATTTGACGACTTTACAGAACGAAGAAAATATATAGCTTCGCAATTTTTGTTTGCAATTTTGTTTTTAATACTGCACAGTCATTCCAAGCAAAATCGGAAACAATAAAAACACCAGCTTTCGTATTTTATACCATAAAATGGATTTCAAAAAGAAGAAACACCATAAGGCGCGTTCATGAGAGAGCAGAGATACAACTATTTGTGCTTGATGGATGTCCATGTTGCATAAAAGCAAACTTGAAGGCGCCATGGCGTGAAGCGTGACCTCGCAATGCTTCGCCCTATGCTGTCCGTGAGTTGATTAATTCGCTCAGATTTGAGAGAAAAGTTAACGAAACCCGAATACGTCTCTCGTGCTGTGTTGCTCACAGAGCGCTCGAACCGCACCCTTACAAAAAACACAAACGGAGAAAAATACAACATTGAGTAGAGCAAAGAAACGGACGAGAGTTGTAACGGCGCAGAGATACAACTATTCGTACTTGATGGATGTCCATGTTGCGTCTGCAAAATTGAAGGCGCGAACTTGCAACGGTCCACTCTATGCTGCCAATGATGTTGATTACATAGAATATTAAGTGACGTTAGATCATGTCGAACCGATTTTTTTGTAAATAGCGCGTTTCACCTTAAGAATGCTTTAACAATAATGCATCCTTTACTTCATAACGAATTAAATATTTCACAGCAACAATTCTCGAGAAAAGCAATTGAATTTATGTTGTGTCACATTTTTTTTATTAATGCTGAGAAATGTGTATAAAATATGTGCGGCTGACCCTGCTTCCTTGAACCAACATACGTTAAGTCATTGAAATTCCTACCTAAAAGGATTCAACGTCTGAATGTGTGGATGTTTGGCACTTTGGAACGATTGTTTGGTCGATGGATCAGTTGATAATTTCTGGATTGAAGGATATTAATCAAATATCTCTGAGTATCACATCATGTTTCGGTACGTCAAGTACACAAAAGACCGAGGAACACTTTCAAATCATTCCAAAAGTACGCCTCAAGTGAGTATCACACATGTTTTTGCCCTCTGATTTGCAGTATTTACTCGGGACGTGTTTATAAAGCTGTTTCAAAATTTTCCCGGGTAAAAAATCGTGCACAAATACCTAACGTCGTAAACAGCGTTATGATGCTTGGATATTTTTAAGGAAAGCCCTAAAATTCAGATTTTATCTATTGATTGCGTGACTATTGAATTGTCCTTCAAAGCTCTGAAAACCCACTGTAATGCTCTATGACCGTACCACCTTCGCTAACCTACAAAATCCCACTATCGGTCATAGTATCGATAATCAAAACTCTTTAATTATTCCATTAAGCTCTTGCCATTGGCGGATTTAGCAAATTGGTAACAGAGTTTTCTCTCAATTTAAATCCATGGAAATGTATCGATTCTTGGAGGGGTCCGGTTTTCTGACCAGAATCGATTATTTAACATAGGTTTAAATGGAAGAAATTCGGTGTTGCCAAATTGCTGGCTCCGCTTCTGGCCCTTGCCTTCACTTCAATCTTAAATCATTTCTGCAGTTGAAAATGCCTTGAGGAAAGCTCTGAGTACTGACCCATCCGTCATAGTTAAAAGTAAAGCAGACGGTGTGAGAGATGTGATTTGTGAGGCTGCCAAAAAGTTCTCGGAGCAGGTTGAGTCCCTTAAGAAGAGTATCGAGGTGAGGAACGATGACCCGTGGAACAACGACGAAAATTTCGAAGACGCTTTGGAAAATCTGAAGAAAGACAAGTCTCAGGTATGAATGTATATTTGTTGCTATTTTGATCAACCTTCATTTTGCAACGAGGAGTACATTTTCTGGCTCATCCATAAAACCATTTATATTTATGAGGAAACTAATGGCGCACGTGTTGCTCCTAAAACGATCCTGAGATGGTGATTCATTCTTGAGTTTGGTCCAGTAATCAAGCGTATATTTGAAAGTTTTGTAAAAAAAAATGTCGAAGTTCATTTGTTTCTCAAATTTAAAAACTTTTGAAAAGTACCAGACTAGTCAAAGACTAAAATATAAAATTTAACACTTACTATAGTCACGAGGGTTTGTTAATCATAGGATTCGCGTCCCTGAAGATGACTGGAATTGTCGAAACGCGTCGGATTAACAAACCCTCGGACTAGTGAGTGTTAAATTATATATTTATTTATTTCTGTCTGAAATTCAAAGGCTTCATGCTCCCTATGTCTCCTTTGTCTACAGCTTTGTCTTTCAATTTCAATAATCAGCACGCTGTACAGCTGCAGCTTTTTGTGCGCGGTATCAGCTTGCTTTTAATTAGTTTGAGATTCGATCATATACCAGTCAGACAGCATTCAGCAAAAAAGAACCACCGCGGTTACAGTATTTCCGAAATCGTGCAACTACTTCTCTTTGAGAAATACCTAACAGATATACAGTATTAAAATTTACACAATTATTTTCCTTTAAAATTGACATTTTTTTGGTGGGAAGCCAAAACTAATTGCTATTCTGGATTTTTTTAGATAGTTATGAAGAAGCAACATTTTACCGTAATCGCGCTGGTTCTTTTTTGCTAAAAAAAAAAAAAAAAAAAAAAAAAAAAAATTAAGTCGCTGTACAGCACTCCCTCACGCTCTACGACTCCTAACCTCCACTGCTCTCTTTCAAACCACACATCTTGGGGGATTGAGCACCTTAACATTTCCGCTTCAATCCCTTCCCTCCAACCTTTCATTGGGCGCCCTCTGCGTCTTCTCTCAGGAGGAACCCAATCAAGGACCTTCTTCGCTTCTTTTCTATCTTCGATCTTCTTCTTCTTTTTGCTAAATGCGATCCGATTAGTGCAACTTATTACATGCCAACAGGTGGATTTCAGAAAAGTCGCCGAAGGCGTGAACACGAGGAACAGTGGCTATCGTCTGAGTGACGTGAAGCGGACGGCGTACAACAAACTCTCCGCTGTCCGTAACGCCTTCCGCCGCGAGATCTACCAAATCCAGCACAGCGCTGACTCCGCCGTGAACGTCCTGCGCGAAGGCACCCGCGCTTTGCAAACCGTCAAACGCGCGCTGGCTGTCGGTCAGAAACTGGGCTGCTTCGGAGAGACTATGAGAGAGAAACAAAATCCTGCGGAATCAAACCTGTCCGAGGAAGATCTCGGCAACGTTATCGGTCCATTCGAAGCTGTGTCCAGTCCGAATTCAAGAAATCCTGCGAAATCAACCCTGTCCGAGGAGGACCTTGGCAACGTTATCGGTCCATCCGAACCTGTCTCCAGTCCGAATTCAAGAAATCCTGCGAAATCAACCCTGTCCGAGGAGGATCTCGGCAGCGTTATCGGCCCATCCGAACCTGTGTCCAGTCCGAATTCAAGTCGTAGGGTTGCCCCTGGCCGAATAATGGTTCCTTCGAGTCCACCGACACCTAGCCGTGGTCAGGCTTTCTTCACCCCGTTCGTGTTTAGTGGTCGCATTAGAGACGGCAGCAGGGTTAATTTTTCGAAAGTTTCACAACCCCCGATGGTAAAAAAACTAGTCCCGATCGAACCGAAAAAAGAGGAGCCGAGACCTATGGGCCCCCATCCGTTACATTTCGATGGCTAAATGCCAGCGGATCCAGCAATTTGGCAACGCCGGGTTTCCTCCACTAAAAACCATGTTAAATAATCAATTCGTCGCTTGGCTGACATAAGGGCGTAACTACACATTGAGGTGAGCCCGGAAAAGCATTGAATTATATGGAGGACAAGGCTCATTGCAGAATGTAGTTACGCCCTTATGTCAGGTAGGCGATGAATTCTTGTCGGAGCGCCTGGCCTCTCCAAGAATCGATACATTTTCATAGGTTTAAATGGAGATAAACAATGTTGCCAATTTGCTGGATCCACCAATGCTTGGACGCGGAAGAAAATTGGAATTCATTTTGCATTGAGGAGCCATTATTTATGCTCCTTTCAGAAAGAATATAGCTTCCCCTAGTTCCCCAATGTTGGTAGGTGCTTTTTACCAATGAGCCAATTTGTACTTCTATCCTTATTGTAAAGTCAAGTCCAATTGATCTTGGAGGGTTCCGCTGGAGTATTATGACATTAATACAGTTCGATCGATGCATCTTTGAATCCGGATTATTTCTTTCCTCACACATCCACCAAATTACCGATTTTACACTTGGAAAAATTATTGCTGTGTAATAATTTTATGTGAACTATCATAGTAAACCGTGTGCCAGCACGTCGTAACTAGCATTTTCTCTTGAAGTTGTCAACCGAAGGCTTAGGTTATTTTGTGTTTTACTCCCCGTATGAATCAAACTTTTGGGTTGAAATATATATCGATTGTTATGCCATTTAAACCTATGAAAAAGGATCGATAAACAGGGTGTTCGCAGCGAACACCTTAATAATCGATTCATTAACATAGGTTTAAATGGCATAACAATCGATACATCGGAATTCACGCCACACCACTGGTTGAAATTTCTCTCTGTGTAAGAACATATCTTGCAACAATTGAAAGAGGAATATGAAGCTAAAAGTACGACATAAACGTATACACTTTTCACATTGGAGAGCATCGGAATGATTTTGTTGTTGAAATCCTGGTTTCAGATTGGTAAATGGATAAGTTTTCACGGTTCCTGGTTGGTAAAAAAATCTCACGATGTCATTTGCACGTCAGAAGCAACGCAACGATCAGACGCACCGATTACATTTCAGCAGAAGAAATTGAGGGCGCCTAAATTCTTAGCTCGATTTCCTTGAGCAAATGCACACATCGTCACTTTCCAACCAAAGTATCACAAGCTCCATCCGACGTTTAAAAATTTCCGCCGTCATTTTATGTTTTTGCAGAGATATCGTTGGTTGCATCTGTTTGAAAATTTCATCGAATCATATCGGCAGCGCAAAGAAAATTCAGCGAAATTTTCGAACAGCTTCGTTGAACGATTCCCCGCCGAAAAAATAAAATGGTGACGGAAATTTTAAACCGTCGCATGGAGCTTGCGATACTTTGGCCGGAAGGTGACGACATATTGTTTGACTTTCGATCAATGAAGCAATTTCTCGTGCGGGCTGAAATTCTCGACTAATCAAAGTCACGCTCCGTAAAAATATAAGAAAAAAAAAAAACACATCGATGACCAAATAAAGAAACAACGTATCTTCGTTTGAGACGTTGCAGACTTCCTGTCTTACTTCATTTTTTCGCTGGAAAACTAGTCAACGTCATTCCTTGAAAACTTTCCCGATTTGATTGAATTTTCGTCTATATTAGCAGTATATTCTGTATGTTCAAGCTATTAAGTTGGCTTGCTCCTCTACAAGAATATAAGATAGGAACGGAAAGTTTGTAACACGTGATTGACATACGTGACTTTGCACTTTAACTGTCATTATGACAGCTAAATTTGTCGGTAATAGTCCATCAACAAAAGTGGCTGGTGCTTGGTACTCAACACTCCAAAATTTGTTTTTCCCTAATTTTCCGAGAAAACTTTTCAGAAGCAGATTACTGACAATCATTAGGATACATAAAACTTTAAATTGAATACTGTCAGTGCGCGAAAGGGTCTCACAATGACCTGAAAAAATATCAACAAGCTTAGAGCTGAAACGGCACAACTGGACACAACACAACAGACTTCTTAGTTCTCCTTGAGCAAATGTATACAAAATACTGACTTAAGTTAACGAAAGTTTGGATTATTAATAACCAAAAACATTAGTAAATAATATAAGTATTGGTTTGTTGATTCTGACTTTCAATCAATGAAATAAATTCCCACGGCTAGAAATTCTCGACTTGTCAAGGTCATGCTACGTAAAAAAAACATGCAAAGAATCCTCGACTTATCACGGTTATGCTACGTAAAAAAACATGTAAATAACGCATGACTATTAAATATGTCAATTATCGTCTATAAAGGAAAATGATTAATCTTCAACAGACCGAAAGTTTTCCGTCCTTTCAATTGAAGAAAATATATTCAACGTGTTACTGTCAATCATTAGGATTGATAAAATTTTAAGGAGCAATGCCGTCAAGGTGCAAATAATAAACATAGCTCTTACTTTGTCCTAGAAAATATCACCGCGTTTAGGACAGAAACGTTAAAAAGTTGTAATATTTTAGTGAATTCGCTCTGTGCGCGCAGCAGATGAAACAAAGAAAAACTCTTAGTGCGTTGAATACATTCAACTGTAGATAGACCAATATTGTTACATCTTTAAGTTGCTTACACTTATACCTATTTGTAACGTCGTTATACGAGTAGCAACCAAAAGTGGTGTAATTTTGACTAGACTTGTGACTTTGTTATTTATTGAAACATTTTATGATAATTTAATGTATACAGAATCTCCCAAAACCTCCAACGTCATACATTTTCTCAAAATTTGTTCACCATGTAATATACAAACCTAAATTTTTGCATGGCAATTTTTCCTTGAGTGCACTGATCGGCCATTGCCCAAAGACGTAAATATGACAGATTTGTTCGATCTAAAATGAAAAACTGATACCGTGTTAGTGTCCTATCGTGGATTCGCAACTGTTATTCAAGGAATTAATTCTAAATCTTTCGCTTGAAGACCGATCAGAACTTCTCCTTCACATCGTGGACAACTTAATTGGATAATTGTATCAATTCTTAATTCCTTTTTTCAAAACTTTTAATTTACCTACATTAGTTAATTTATAAATTTAATTCATTACAGCTTTAAATTAATAATGTGTTGACTTTATTTTTTGAATTCGGATAGTAAATATAGGCACAATACTTTTCACATTTAATCTTTTACGTGGATGCATGTCCATAATCAGCAATGAAAGTGCATAAATCTACAGATCTCTCGCAAGGCCTTTTGTATTCAAATGGAACCTCAAAACGTATTCGGAGCTCCTTTAATATAACTTTGAAAATGAGAGTCCTGCTCATCTTTTTATTACCGGGAATCGCGACTGCGAATCTCGGTGCTCACATTAATGACAACCTGACTCTACGCTACAACAACGATTTGGCTTTGAAAATTTGTCGAGAGATTGTACATCTGTCAAAAAATCGGCAATTCCACATCGTCGACCTACGGAGAAACCCATCGGTCACTACTCTTGTTCGGAACTTACACGAGAATTCCATTTCCACCGTTTCGATACGCCATCACAGCAAATTGAGTCTTTTTTCTCGGAATCGAAATCAAAAAAACCTCATTATCTTTCTTACGGAAACCAACAACATTTTCAGTTTGATTCTGACGACCGCTTCTCATAGAAATGAAATGAGAATTCCTGCCAACTTCTCGTATACGAGCAGCAGTTCTTATGCCGAGAATATTGTCCAGGGAGAACTACCAAATTACTGCGTTACGCACGACTCAGTTGTTGGTTCCGAGCAAGTAAATACCAGTTGTAACTACAGATTACATTTAACTCCGGCAGAACTTAGAGGTAAGTCTCCTTTGACGGACCAATCACTTTCATTTACACGAGGACTCTACTCGCACAATATCTGGAACTACAAAAATTACATCGTCTTCATGGTTGATCAGAAAAGTTGGAGGAAGCTCACTTCCAAACAAGAGCGTCCAGGAATTAAGAAATCTCTATATTCGCCCAGCTCCGTACTCACCAAATCGGATGAAATCGAATCTCGCAACTTAATCTTTCTCTTTGACGTATTCTGGCGGTTCTTCAGGGGACAACGAACGACCATCTGCTTCAAACAACACTGCATTTGGTACGATCATTTTGAACGGAGTTTCCTATTTTATGGAGGATCAAAAAACGAGAGATACTTCGATTTTACTGTTCGAGTCTTTCACGATCGGATGAGCGACGATTTCGTCTACAGAATAGGCGTTGGTCACGCGCTTTATTACAGCAGATTTGACTTTAAAACACCCCAGCTCTTCGGAGATCTCTTGAATTTGATCTTTGAACAAGATACCGAACACTTCAAGCTACATAAAAGAGATGCCCTGTATGGTGATGCCGGTCTGCAGCAAAACCTCGATCTTATCATCTACGAGGGAGGTTACGTTTTGGAAGAGTCGGAGATCTCCCAATTCCACCAGACACCAAGTTTCGACTCCCTTCATTACTGTTTCCTGGCCCCTCGCCGTGGGTTCATGCCACAGTACCTCGTGGTCGTCAAATGCTTTTCGCCTCCAGTCTGGCTGGCCATACTTATAGCGCTCGCTACTTCGTGGCTCATGCAATGGGCGTTCCAGCGGTTCCAAGTCAAGTATTTCGCGCATTTTTATTCGGACGCGGAAATATGTGCGTTCGAGAACTCATCAGCATTCCTCGCTATTTATTCCTACTTCCTCAGCGGTAGTCCACCGACTTTACACCTGGGCAAATTCCTGACCGGGAAGATCTGCTTCTTCGTCTTCACGTTTTTCAATATCATCATCGGAACCGTCCTTCAGAGTGGGCTGACGACATTACTGACTAGTTACGTGCGGTATCCCGACATCGAAACCCTGGAAGAATTGGAACAATCCGGGCTTTACATACAAACACAGAATGTTGAGGGGATTTCGGATATCTTAGGCCAGTCTGGGCACGCACCGCTGAAACACCAACTAACCGACAGCAGAGATATTTACGAACGACAAGCTGCAATAGAACTCCTGGGTGAGTATAACCATAATAATATCCTTTGCGATTGGACATCACCGAATTTGACGGATATATCTAACAACTGCACCGAGAAGATCAGCGAACTGGAGAAAAATATAGTTTCGATGACGGGTGTGGACGCGTATTTGGCCACGACGCCTAATTCATTTCTTAAGGCGAAGAATAGAGTTACACCTCGAGGATTCCTTAACCCCACAGAGATCGAGTTCCACCTGATTGGTGAATGTTTGACCACGTACCCGATTTCGTACCTGATCGTCGAGAATTCTATCTTTACGGAAATTTTTGATAAAAAGATGAGGCAGTTAATCGAAAGTGGATTAATGGTTAGCATTTTATCCTCCGATTTGACAGAGTTCTACTTTGAATCATTTCCACAAAGATACGATGGCGAGGGATCTCTTAGGCCATTCAGTATGATTGATTTACAGCTTGCGTTTATGAGTCTTGGTGCTGGACTTTTGGTCAGTTTCTT